TATTATTATTATTATTATTATTATTATTATTATTATTATTATTATTATTATTATAACACTGAGAGGACGTAAAGAAATGCATTTTAACAACATTTCAATGGGGCTTCAGTTCGTGCAAGTGCCCATTCTACACTTTACAATACAGGAGTCACTAGGAGCAGCCGTCATTTTATACATGACTTGCATTATTTATTTATTTGTGAACGTATATCTGGTAAATCTAGTCTGCCATTTAAAATTCTGTTGTTTGGAGGATACTTTCCCAGGGTATATATAGCTATAGATCATTAAAAATGCTTCCTTGGGAGCCCCTTGCTAAATCTGCTGTCACCCCATCGGATCGAGGGAGGGAGAAGGAGAGAGGGAGGAAGAGAGCAGGAGGGGGGTAGAGGAGTGGACAGGCACTGGTAACGGAGGGGGAGGCGTTTGGCTCGGTGAAAACGGGGAGTGAACGCGCAGAGAGGGTGAGAAACCAGCGGATCTGGCCCTTTAAATCACCAATACAGCACATTCGGAGGTGAGTTTGGAGATATTTGGCTATTTTTCTCCCCGTGCATAATATTTGTAGCGCCTCTGTGTGCTGCTGCAGCCCCGCATTCTCGCAACTGAGGGCGGCTGCAGCGAAAAGGGGGCTCGTCAGTGTCACGAATCCGGATTTCCCCAGCCCTTTGCCGGCAGAGAGGGTGGGGAGGACCGGGGACAGGGTCAGTGGAAGATTTCCTTCAGCTCGGCTGGACTCTGAGGACGCACGAGCCACAGTAACATGATCTTATATGCCGAAGTAGGCCGTATCAATTTGCATAATAGCGGAATATAACGGCATGCGCTCCGGTCTTATGCTCGTTGTCGCTGGATGGGTTTATATTTGCCGGAGCTTGACTCCCTCAAAACATGTCACCACCCTGCTCCCACGGCTAACAATCAGGGCCTATTTGCAGACCCGGAGCGGTGTAGTCTGTTATTCACTGGGATAAATATATCTGGCTTTGATATGTGCACTGTGTTTGCGCTCCCGTGCGTATTCGTCTGTATGTTGGCTCTGTTGAGTCTATGCGTTTAAGTGTGTGTGGTACGTGGATAGCCACGGGAGAGAGGACATGCTGTTCTATCCATCAAAATGCCCGCATTGTGCTTTCACACGGTAGAGCAGCGAGCAGGCCCTATAGCAGAGGACATGGCTTCGTACTGTAGGCCCGATCAACGCTCAGGAGCTGCTTGGATCAATAAGGATTGATGCAGTTTTGCGCGTCTTGAGAGCCTCTGTGTGCTCGCTGGTTGAGGCCTGTCCAGCTCTGGCGGTGTTTATGTTGACCAGGCCGAATCAAATGATCAGCTTAGCGTATATGTTTTGCTTCTGCTAAGAAGAAAGGCGTTCAGTTTGGGGCAAGAAGGGAGAGATGTGGCTGTGTTGGGGGAGAATTTCGTCTGCTGTTTATAAAGGCTTCTCTTCTCTCGGCACGGTATGCGCCATAGCAAAAAGTTTGAAAAATCAACAGGCTGAGGAAATTAAAGAACTAGGTTAGTAGTGTCTATGAAGTGATAAATGAGTCATTTAAGTATATCTGGTACTTTTTTTTTGTATGCAGCGGCCCTGCCAGTTGAAACCACCGTGGTTCACCCACTTGATAGAACAGAAAAAAGCACACATTTATGTTTCAAAGGAACAGCAGCTTATAACTAAAGAGGATGCAAGTGCTGCCTTGTCCTTTAATGTTAGCATGTTTGTGTCAAAGGCATGCATCAGCATGTGAACAATCCCTGCAATAAGTCTTATAGAGTTGAGTTTTTATTATATTCATATGCATATACTCTGCGCTTGGCTTCCAGTGATGCTGCACGCTGTGATTTAGGAGCATTCATTAAATCCTGACAGATAATGAGAAGCGTAGAATGTGTTGTGAGGGAACAGGTGTTTGTCTCTGTTTATTTGCACTTGTTATAGACACATCTGAGGGTTATCTGTTTACACAGCCATAACCAAGGGACTCACCCCCCATTGTTGGACAGAGGCCCATGTGTGTACATTATATTTTAGTTCTGGGGTCAGTATTGGGCACTTGTGGTTAAAGGGGAAAAAAAGAAATCTAGTGCCAAGTAAGGCTAGGGTCAGTATTTCTGTCTCTTACAAGCAGTTCATTTAGGAAGATTCATGTGCCACAATTTGCCAAACATGATGCCTTTTTTTGCTATCTTCAGTTTCTATGAATATGTGTACTCCTAATTGAAATCAGTGCAACTCTCAAGTCCTGTGAGTGTCTAAAGGAAAGAAATGAAGATATGTTGTTCCTGAATTAGGATTTGGGTTCAAGATTCAAGATTAGGATTAAAAATTAGAATTTGGATAGAGGAAAATCGGCAAAAAGCCGCATAAGTCTGTTAATGCCAACGTGCAGGCAAAGGCAGAATGAGAATTTGTTCAGGTGTTACAGTGGTAATCTCTAGCTTCATTCACTCTCTCTCTCTCTCCCTCTCTCTCTCTCTCTTTCTCCCTCTCTTACACACAAACACACACACACACAGCTCTAATTACAGACATGAATCTCTGAAAGACTCCACAGCAGGAGTAATTAAAGCAGGACTCTCCTCCTTAGAGAGGGAGACAGACAGAGACACAGACTGAGAGACCCGGTGGTAACATGCTCGTTGTGATGTATTTGAGGTATGTGTTGTTCACATCTACAGAAGCAAGTTTCCTGCTGTGTTAATCTGAAGGTTTGTAGTGATTTAAAATGAGTTTGGGACCACCCCACCCTCCATATGACAGAATGTCCCACCACCCATTCAGAAAAGTGCTCTTACAGGTGCTTTGTGAAAGAAAAGGAGGTTGTGATGATGGATATGATAGTTAATGGATATGATGAGTATGACATTTTCTTGTGTTTGAAGTAGCAGCTGTGTCATGGTAATATTTTTTATTGCAGTTTTCATATTTGCAGTCGTTATCTCACCTTTAGTTTTTATTACTTTGCTAACTCATTGCTAAAACAGTAAAACCTCTCTGTGTGTGGAGATGTGGAAAAATTGAAACCTATTTGTAAAAGCAAACAGAAGCAAACATTTTGAAATGTGTATGACTACTGAACTGCCTGTTTATAACGTAGCTTTATCAGCAGGCAGCTCACTTGTTTGCCCATTCTTCTTTTACACAGAGACAAGCCAATGTAAGCTCAGCCGCCATCCAGCTCTGTAACTGTGACTGCCGTTCCTGCACTGCTCAGACCGCCTCCATCCATTCATATTAGTGTTCAGAGGGAGTCCTGTCTGCACACCATCAGCCAGGTAATACTCTGTTTGCTGTGGTCACTGTATCACGTTCCACATTCCTAGGCTGCTTAATCTGCAAAGTATCTTAAACTCGAATTTTCCTGTGAATTACCCAGTGGACTCAGGAGTCCCTGAGGCAGTGGAATGTGGAATGAATTTATTTGAATGTCTGGATCACAACATTCTCAATCCCAAAGATCTCACTGAGGTTTATTACAACAACCTAATGGTGTATTCCTATTTCAACATGTTGTTTGTGCAGTGTGTGAATTACATTCAGAAGACAAATATCAGATGCTGATGCGTATTAGCATCTTTAATATAAGGGCTTTTATTTAATTGCTTTTTTGTTAAACATCAAATTCATTTTTGGTTACATTGTCGTTACACTGTTGCTTTCAATCGTCATAATATGAATTAAAATGCTGCTATGTTTCACTCTAAATTTCTGCTGCACTACTATGTAGTCACCTCATGGTGGTGCTATAGCGCTCTGATTTAAATTTATGACCCATAACACTAAAAAGGGAATTTAAGCCATCATTTCATTTCTGATCTAATGGCAAAAAAACAAAAAATATTACACTCTTAGTTGTGCTTTGTTTATATTTGATCCTCTGCAGGCTTTCTTTTTTGTTTGCTTTTGTGCGATTCATTTAGCAGTGCTATAAAGGACAGTTTCAGGGAATAATCAGGGAATTATCTAGTACTTAAATTCACATCTCTATTAAGTATACATGAAATTAATGTTTCTTGGTCTCTGACAAATCTAGTGAAGTAAACCAAACACAACTCATTCTGTTTTTTCACTCCTTCAGTTTTCTCCTGTGTTGGTGTATTCTCATGGATCAGTATGTCTACCACTAATAATATCGCCCAGGCCAGGAAACTGGTGGAACAGCTGAGGATTGAGGCAGGGATTGAGCGCATTAAGGTAAAACAACCGTTTTCTGCTGTGTTAGCAAATGTGAGTGCGTAATTATTCATACACATTTAACTGCTCTCCCTCTCTACTCATTCTTGTTCCCCCTTTGCTGCTTCTTCCTTCATTGACCCTTACAACTTTATTATTTCTTCTACCTCCAATGCCCTCATTTTAAATTTCGCACCTTCTTATCTATCCCCTTTTTTGCCTTCCCCCATGCCCTTCCTCCTTTTCTCTCCCTCCCCCCTCTGTCCGGTCAGGTGTCTAAAGCAGCAGCAGACCTGATGAGTTACTGTGAGCAGCACGCTCGTAGCGACCCTCTGCTGGTTGGTGTTCCCACCTCTGAAAACCCTTTCAAGGACAAGAAACCTTGCATCATCCTATAGCTGCTTCCTGCTTCTCCTACCCCTCTCACGCACACACACACAAACACACACTCTCACACACTCTTGCACATACATATACACACTAACACATAAACGTATACTTTTGCCATTTAACTAGATCCCCGCATTTACCAAGACACACCTTGGAGCAGCCATGTCTGATCTTACAGGGCTGTCGAGCATCCACACACACAGAGAAACACACACGCTCCCAGAATCGCCACTCTGGAAAAGCGCCATACACCGGAGCAACAGCTAGGGGGAGGGTATGCTGCGCTCACAGTGGCTGAGATCAGTATATCACTGAGTATGATCCAAGGTGCTTTGGTATTATTCACATATGCTGGTGAATTAACTACAAGTTTCAGCTAAAATTGAAAAGGGATTTGGACATTAATGATCGATAGGAAATCAGCATTTTCTTTTTTTTTTGTTATCGTGAAATGAGGTGTTGGTTCAAAGATGGGTAGCTGTGCCATAGGCAGGCGGTGGGAGGATGCATGTGCAAAAAAACAGAATGAGTGGTAGGCGCTAGGCCAATTGTGCCAAACTGGACCTCGTGTCCCATTAAAAGTTCAATAAATGCTTCTTTTTCTGTGGGAGAATTTTTTTTTAAAAAGTATGAAAGCTTCATTCTTGGGTCATTTTGGAGCAACTGGCTAAAGCCTTTGCCTTTATCAGGCCATAGCATGTTCCCACCCAAACCTGTATCAACAGACCTTCTCTGCCTGTGGCCTCACAATGGCTGCCTGCAGCCTTTGGCCAAGCCTCCAGCTGTGCCAACCTGTACAAAAATTCCTTTCTAGATGCTGATCTGCTGTCACTGATTCCACTGCGGCTCATGATAGCCGCCACGGGCTGATGTCTAAGCTGATCCCAGATCTGCACCTATGAGAGCAAGCAGTGAACGGCTCTACACAGAACTCAAGCTATTAACCGCAGACGTTTACTGCATTTTTTCTTAAGAAATACTTGTTTGTGAACTCAATGTACGTTTTAGATATTTTGTTGAAGCATTACTTAACAGATAGGACAATATTTTACATTTTTTTAGATTGTTTTCTTTTCACGTAGGTGTTGCCCCTGGCGGATCAGGTTTGTTTTCCTGCTTGCATTAATGAAATAACAGGATATCTGGTTGTAAGCCAGGGGTAATACCTAACCAGATCTACTGTACATCAAGCCTCCCTGTGCTTTACCCCAAGAGAGGGCGAGGCCACAGAATGATCACATCAGAGAATCATTCTGTAAGGGACTGCGAGGCTGGAGGAGATGACCCAGACATAGAAAGTAAAAATGAAGGTGCCCTCTTCCCACCCTCTCAGCCCATATATATTTCGATTACTAGTTCTTGTAGGGTGAATAGAACGAAAATGAGAGGAGTGGGTAGTCTGAAAATAAGGAGTCACCTCTCTGTTCAAGGGGTTTACATCTTGTTTTAATGCTTTGCAATTATGGCTATTAATCAGATTACCTGCCTTCACCAGTCTAAAGGTCCCAGTTTCCCCAGCATAAGAGCTCACTCTGACGTTATCCCAGCTTGGTCACAGGCTGGATCAGTAGGAGCTGGCAGTCTCCTTTCTGTGTCCCTCCATCCTCGTCTCCTCCACAGCGCTCCTCCTGTCTGACAAACCAAACTTGATTGTAAAAACTGAAACATGAAGAAGAAAAAAATCAAGTTAATTAAGAGAAAAAAAAACTAAGTGTATAAACTTTCTTTCAGACATGTGCAGAAGTGATAAGTTGAAGAGTAGCTGTTTTGGCTTTCTTTTTTTTTCTTTTTCTTTTTTTTAAGTTCTCTTCTTTCTATGGAGTCCATGGAACCTGGTCAGTTGAGTATTACCCTGTACAGTATTTGTAAGATACAAACTCAGAACACAGATTTCCCCTCTGTGGATGTTGGATTTTTTTAGTACTACTTATTCTGTCAATCAGGATCACGTCTGTCCTTTGCTTTTTCCTTTTTTACGTCAATCAGGTTTTAGAGGCCTGCGATAGCTGAGGTTGGTTTCGGCCACATATAAAACCGATGAGGATGAAGTAATGTACCGGAAACAAAAGCTGTGTTTGGTTTAGAGTCATGCCCCGTAAGAAGATGAATCAACATCGGACCTCATTACGGTGGTGCAAAACCAACCTCCTGATCTGACCTTTAACACCAAAGCTGTCCTTGTTTTGTTTAGTTTTTGTTTTTTTGGGGGCAACAGGCATCTAGACCAACATGCAACACACACCTACATCCTGTGCTTTGGGTGCTTTTCAAGCTTGAATGATGTTTATCAGAGGTAAAAGTTTAATAGCTGTAAGGAGAATTGGTGAGAGAGGGGATCTTCCTTCCATCATATTTACACTTTAGCGTTTAGCCGAGGGTGGGATCATTTGGACATGGCTTATATCTGCTGACAGAGAGTCACAAGGGTTCGTCCTACTAGTTTTCTGCTTTCATGTCACTTAAGGTCAGTGTGACCCAGCTGCTATACAGACTTTGGAGGTGGGTGGAAAGAGTTGTTTGCATCCACACGTGCTCATGCGTACCTGGGAATGTGTGGGGTTTAGACAAATCGGCATTAGAATAATTGTAATTGTTACATTTAGCAATCTCAAACTGTGTTTTTGGGGGGAAAAAGAGAATAAGCATATTTCCCAAAATGTCAAATGATTCCTTTAAAAATTCAGCTTTGTGATTAATTACCAGTTTAAATCGCTGCTTAGCATCTGTGTTTTTGCACTGTAGCCAATGGCTTATGATACAGACAAAGATAGAAGTATAGAGAGCAGGAGCTGGAGAAAGGCCATAGAGAGGGTGTGCAAGTGTGCGTGCGTGTGTGTGGGTGCTTGTGTTTGGTAGCTGAAAAGGGATGATTTGGCAGAGCAGTAGGTGGAGAGGAGAAAATAGAGGAGCGTGCAAGTGTGTGCTCGTGTGCATGGTCTGTGTGTGTTTGTGCGAGTGACACAGTGCGTAAGAACGAGCAGTGCCTCCAGTGCTGCAGTGTTAGACTGTAATGTTATAGTACTGCAGTCCTGCAGTTCTAGGTCAGGGTTAGTCTGACCAGAGGAAAGGTCATGTGATACCACAAGTCAGAACAACATATGTGGCTTGCACTTCCTCCTTTTCTCACTTAATCAGTCTGCATATTTTGAAGAGTGAAAAGGGGGGTTGTGTCACAGGCTAAAATTGATCAGGTGAAATGTGGCAAAACAAATAATTTCATTACCACTAACGTAAGCCTTGGATACGTAAAGGAACATGTTGACATTTGAGAAATGTGTATATTTGCTTTCTCCTGCAGCTGGTTAGCTTACCTTAAAGACAAGAAACAGGGAGAAATGCCTCTGTTCACCTGCAAAAAAGCTCTTTTAAAGTTCTCAGTCAAGGTGTTATATGACTTTGATGTTTTGCCATTATCGCAGTGAGCCATAGAGGTGCTGGTAGACAGGTACTTATTTGGCCTGGGTTTGCTTATCAAGGACCTGAACTATTCTAAGATGAAAGAACTGATTCCCTGTCAGTTTACAGGAATGTGATAAACACTTTCGTTTCATTTCTTTGCAAGCTAAAGTGAAAGAGAATTCTTGCTGCAGAGGTTTAACACAAGGAAACATACATGCATAACTTATCATCAGACAAATGCACATACACACACACAACCACACACACAGATGTCCTGGTATTGCCGAGCATATGCTATTTTTTTTTTTATTACTATCATTCCATCCATGGTTGGGCTTCAATCAGAGACACACAGCTTGGATTGCTGGTTTGTCTGATTGATTGGTTGTTAGTTTGCCTTATAGTGGTGTATATCATGTAAATGCTGGACTTGGAGGTGGGGGGCAGTCTTAAACAGTCTTAAAAGTGGAACACACAGCTCAAAGTGGAAATTTACTGGTGTTGTGCGCAAAAATGCAAGCCTCTCGAAATTCATTTCAAGCTTGGTGAGGAGAGCCGAGGCTCCTCCCTGTTGGACTTTCATATCAAGCTTCTCTGATTTGGCTCCGAGCCCTTCCTGAGAATCATCTTTTGTGCTCTGATCTCCTGTGTATGCATACAGTATATGTATCTTTTTGCCTTGATTGACTATGAAGAAAATATATCTATTTTTTGTAACTGTTCTCTGATGTGCCATAACTCATGTTTTCTTGCACACTGTTAATATTTTGTGGATATTGCTGTTTAAAAAAGATTATATTGAGAAGTAGATAACATTAATAAAAAGATGATATAATAACAAACTTTTCCTGTATTGTTTTTTTTTATTTTGTTTTGATGTTAACATCAGTGTATTTCAAGTTTACTGGGCAGATCACAAACATCAGATACAATACCAGTATGAGCCTCGCAGAGCTGCTGGTATAGCTGCAGAATATTAGTGTTTTTGATTATTATCTGCAGTTTATTGGTTTAAAAATGCAACTGCAACTTTACAATGCACTTGCAGAAACATGCTCTCTGGCCTACTTGGTATACGATGTGCAGCGCATGATGCATGTAAGAGAATGCATCAAACAGAGTAAACAAAGAGCAGAGCTAGGTAAAAGTCTCCCAGTTTGGTCATTTCACAGGAATTCCATTGTTGTAGCCGTCTCAGGCCTTCACTGTGCCCTTTGGAGTGTGCTTTCAACCGTTACAAGCTTGTCTCCAAGTTTCAAACCATACTTCCCATGACCCTTCTGCAAGTCACAGCCAATCGGATTTAGGCTGGATGAACCACGGCCTTTGAGAAGACACTCCCCTCACCAGTCACTACCCTGTGTGATTGTAAACAAGTGTGAGGTCCATGTGCCTCAATATGTTCCTCTCTCCTCTAGCAGCAGACAGGGCTGTGAACAGCCATGTGAGAGCAGAGGGTGGAATAGATTGCAAAGCAGAGGGAAGATCCTGAGATTAAGCAGAGATAATAGAGGGATCAGAGGCTTCACCCACACACACGCACAAACACACATTATGTTATTTCCATGCAACATTGTTGCAGGGCTTTAGCTGCAATATATAATGCAAAACGTACATTTTTAAAAGATTCTTGTTATGCATGTATGGAATCTGGCTAGGGAATAAATAAAAACACTTGACACGCAGGTAATGCGTCTTTCCTGTAATGCTTCATTACTTCCTGACTTGTAGGGACAGTAGGTCTGCATGAGCTTGTTATGCTTGTTTTAGTGAGTTTCTGTCCCCACCCCAGTTTCATTCTCACTGACTTATGCTCACGACAATAGAAGGGGCTGGCAATGACAAAGACTTTGCCCTAAGTGTGCATGCATTTTCCATGACTTCAGCCCGAATGTAAACTGTAGTTGCGTGACTCAGCAGGTTCCATGACGCACACATGGCTTTTGTTTTGAAATCTGAGCAGAAGCCCCAGGAACAAGAAGAATTTATGAATAAAATAATTTATTTACTTAGATAACAGAGCACAAAATAGATTACAAATAACTACAAAATACAATACAATCAATAAATTAACAGTGTAGCCACTTTACATTAGTTATTTATCAGAAAGGCAGCACTCTTGAAGGCACAAAGAAGTTGATATTTTTACAATACATTTAAAGCTGACCTGTCCGGATCAGACAGCACAGGCGTTCTGCATCATTGGGAATTTCGGATCCTGCCTAAATTTTTTCATCCTCGGAGTCTCTTTACATTGTTTTTTCTTTTGTTTCTTCTGGTGTCAATAGGTCCTGTGTGTCTTTAACATTATTTCCATTTCAGTTTCCATGGTGACAATTCCCCAGCAGCTTTCAGCTGCTCATTTTAAGAATGCACACCCAGTCTTTTCTACAGTAAAAAACAAGTATTGTAAATGCATACCACACATAGACATACCACACATACAAACACACACCTCTCCTCTCCTTTTCTGGGACTCTCCCAGGAATGTCTGGTACAGTTTCAGCACTGCAACATTCCTGTCCAGTCAAACAAACAAGACTTCCAGGTATAAGATGGGTGTGGATGTGTTCCTTTCAAAACTACTACTCCTCTTAATGTTTACTATGTCACACCCCATAGACATTGTGAGCACCCAGAGAGCAACACAAAACAGATTGTGTTTTGATGGCATTGTAAAAACATTGTGACTTTTCTCTCTGTATCTTTTGCACAAGTACAGATTCTAGAAACCAGTGTCCAGTCCAGCTGTTTCACTAGTCTTTGAGTGGGAGTCCATGGTTTTGCTGGTCATTAAGGATAGTGGACTGGAGCGGCTACACTCCAGGTCATCCCTGCTTGAGCATAAAGATCCTTCAGTGTATCAGTATCTGGCCACAAAAGTTCCTGTATGCAGACCCTTCAGCGTTCCTGCAGGACTAGTTCAGGCACCCACTGGTCAAGGCGCCGACTCTCCTGGCAGTAGGTCCCCACTTCCTGCAGTCTGCAGTGCTCTGCCTGAGGATTCTGTGTGGGAGAAAAAAAGAATCATGTCCAGCGTTCAATTTGAATTGAACCTGCAAAGTAAGAGTAAAAATCACAAGGCGATGAGAAAGAAAAGGTGCAATATCTTAGCTGAAAATTGTGCATGAAAAAGATCACCATCTGCCTTTCAGTTACATAAGAGGTAGCCACTATGCTGAGTCAACACACCGTAACCAGCATGCAGTGAAGGTCTCTGTGCTCTTCCTGGTTCCTGTTGGCATCCACAGCTCCCAGCAGCCGCTGGAGTCGCTGAAACCCAGAGACTCGCAAGATGGTGATGCCGCTGTCGCAGCAGAAGGACTGTAGCAACGTGAAGTGGATCTGCAGCGCCACATCGTTTTCATCGTCGGCTGCCAGCACGCATAGCACCACGCTGTCTGGATCTCTGAGGGGGAAGAGAAAAGAAGAAAAATGAGGAAAAACCTGAATTCACATGTCTGGGGATGATCAGTTTGGGCAATGAGAAGAGAAGCACAAACCAAAATTAATACTTTCAACTCACACATTAAGAAGCTTGGCTGATTCATAAATGCCAACAGTGAGACAGCCTTGTTTCTGAGCAGTTACCAGCAACTCCTCCAGAGCCAGACCTACAGACTGCATCCTAAGGGATAAGGACAGGACAGTTAGCCTTTTGTATTCTGCAATATGACAAAACATTAGTGGTATTAAATATATGCAGCACTGCTTCAAAAATCCCCCCTCTTCCATATTAATTGAATTAAAAGTCGTTAGAACACTGAAATACACGCTCAGATCAGTTTCATTATCAGTTTCATGCATGGGGATGATTGTGGTGATATAAAACAAGCCATAAATGCGCATTTTACAGTTTCAAGGAATTTCGCTGCATGTTGTGCAACGTGCATGCGTAGTATTGTGTATGCCAGTACAAAGATATTAATACTGAGGTCTTATGACTCATAATAATTCATGCATAATCTCTGGATTTTGGCTTTTATGCGGGTGTCAAACTTTGACAGCACAGAAAAGATTGTAACATTTTATGCACCCAGATGTTAAATAACAGAAAGTCTCTGCGTTCCAGTCTCAAATCAAAGCTTTCAAAAAAGCACTTTAATTACATCAGCCTAAGCAATCCACACAACGGAGGGGTCAAAGGACGATCAACATACCCTTCCAGCACATGATCACGCACATGCACATGCTGAACCAACATAAAAATAGAGCTGAAGCAAGAAATCTTACTTGTTCTCGATGGAAGCAAAGCTTTCTTCGGGAATCATGATTGCAAATTAAAAACCGATCCCACTGCGTAAATGCGTGACAACTGCCGGTGTACCAAAGTTATGCCAGTCTCTTCTGCGTTTGTTGTTGGCAACGTTGCGTCACAGTTTTATAGTGAAGCTGGAAGGTGGGCGGCACCGAAACTAGGCGAGTTTTGCAATTGGCTCAAAGGAAAACCAACATATTTTCTTGTCATGTGGCCTCGTGGGTTTGTATGGTTACAGTGAGTGATGACTTTACGGGACAAAAGTACACTTGTCATTCTGACATAACTGATATTGTGCATAAACAAATACATGCATCTGTTCAAGTGAAATGGTCCAACTAGCTCCCGTGTTGGACTATGAGATAAAATTGTGTAATAAGAGATCACCTTTTCATAACAACGTCTTTACAGGACTGATGTGATTATGTAATTATGACTGACATCTAGTGGCTGAATGAAGGGGGGAACGTCTATGTAACCCTCCTACTACTGAAAGACTGCAGTCATGCATATAAAGCAAGCAAGCAATTCGTGGAACTATATCATCAGTAAAAATGGACCTAGAGTCAAATTTGCAATATGTAACAAACTGAAATAAAGCATATGATAAAGCACATTGACTTTCTCTGTTTTCCTTTATTTTTATTTTTTTACACAATAAGAGCAGGACAAGGATGAATATATTTGCAAATTAATATTTTCAGAATATCCAAGTTAATTAAAATAAAAGAAGTGCACACAACAGACTCTGCTTCTAAGGATCTGAAACTCAAGCTTGACATAGTAAGGATCTACCTCAAAGCTGATCAGGACCCATGATTGGATCACGTGACATCTGTTAATGACTTTAATTAAGCTCAATGATTTTAGCTTCAGAGCGCAAAAATATAGCACTTTGATCCAGTGGCTTTTAGTTGAGAGAAAGCAGCATGCAACGTGCTGGCACATCTTTGCAGACATGAAATGAACAGTGAATATTTATAAATGTTTTTACTGTTTCACTCGTGAAACAAATATAGTTTAATTTTGCCTACAATACAAGGGTTTTACTTTAAGATCATTTGTTGCAACCCTCTTGGAGAACCTAATTAATTGATCATTTTGAAAAGGTCTGAATTGAAATGGTTTGGGATGCTTATATGTTTTGGATTTCAAATAATCTGATGTTCTTTGTGTTCTTGATAATCAGGGCGGGAAATATCACTGGATCTGTAAAGCTCCATCTGATCATTCCCTTCCTGAATTTCAGCCTGGTTCTCAAAAAAGCTGTCTGCAAAGTTCAGCATGTGCTGCACAGCACCAAACAGTAGAGTGTCAGTGTCCTGGTCCAGGTCCAGCTCCTCACTGTAGTTCTTCACCGGCAGTATACAGGATAACGGGATGCCCAGAGCCTCACTCAGCTCACGCGCCTGATTACACAGATTAAATGAGCATTATTGTCATGTCAAATTTTGACCTGCTACTGTAAATGCATCTAAAAACATCACCTTCTTCTGGATGTAAAAACTGCGATAAACATTCTTCAAGTCTTCCGCCACCAGTGGACAGGCCTCGTCTACTTTAGTCATCAGCAACAGCTGAGGAATTCCTTTGAGGGACCGGAAATACAAATCATGACTGAAACAGTTTACTGACACCAAGAAAAGGTTTACCCGTTGTTGTATTTCCCTAATATAGCCTTACATATTTACACATATATAAAACTGCCTGCTGCACGTGCTGTTTTCAATGTTTTCTAAAAAAAAAAAAAAAAAATCAAAAGATTTTCTGCTGACCCAGCTGATTAGTCTTTCTCCGGATGGCACAAAGTTTTTCCAGCATTTTCTGGCTGAGAATAGAGACCTTGCAGGTGTCGACCACATAAACCACACAGTGAATCCTGTCACTCAGAGTCACATGCTTCTGATAGCCAGGAGCATCTGTTAGGATAGGGCCAGATGTGCTAAACTGAAGTGCAAAAAAACATAGTTGTTACTTATCAATCAGCTGCCTAAGTTTTTTGTATTTAATCATTTACTATTTAATCAGTTAACATGAAATGCACCTGGTAGCGATCCTTGATGTGACCTTTATAGATGTTGACCAAGTCCTCAATGTCCAAACCACCCTTTTCCTCCAGCCCCATTGTGTCACAGAGGATCAGTGGGACGGCGCAACCACCTTTCCCTGCCTTGATGGTGTAAGTGCGAAACTACAGAAAAGATAGAAAATGTCATTTAATGGGAAAACACTGTACATTACAGGTAGAGCATGCAGATTCAGTTATACAAAAAGTCCTGTGCCAGTACCTGAGTGGTCACACTCTCCCCCGCTGTGCCAGCGATGGCCTGGGAAGTCATGTTGCCTCGAAATGCTGAGTTGATGGAGTTAAAGAAGCTGGACTTGCCTGCTCCAATCGGGCCTACCAACAACACACGGGCTTGGTGTACTGTTTTGATGTCAGGCTTATAGTTCAGGATGGCCTTCATCAATTGCTGTTTTTGTCTAGAAGAAAGAAAATGTACCCACACCACCCAGAGTGCAAGCACAAAAAGTTTACATGATGACAAGCTAAAAAAGATATGACATAACCTTATACTGATGATGAACATATGATGAACAATTTAGTTTTTCTTAGAATTACAAAATCCAAACATAAATTTATATATTTTACACAAACACCACCAATAACTGTGCTGCAGGTTTCTACATACTCAGCTGTCCATTTGATGTTCCTCCAGGGCTTGGGCAAGAGATCTTCTAGGTCTATAAGTGAAAAATCGATTAATAAGAACAGGATCACTTTTTAATCATATCAATATAAATTCTCTAAAAAGTGCACAGTAAAATTACAAGCCTTGGTTTAAGCATAAGCTCATGAGTGCACGAGGCCATTTCTGCAAGTAGATGAGCACGTTTCTTAATGGTCATGAAATGTCTGTTTTGAAAGTATAACCATGGGAGACATCTTTTTAATTCTATAAAACTCAGGGATTACTTTTACACACCTTCAACTCGATACACCTCGAACTCTGTCAGTGTCAAGTCATTTCCATGCATATCTGCAGCCTGAAAGTTGAAGCCTGTGCCTGGATTTGACTGCACTTCAGGTTTGTCATCATGCAAGAAAACCAGAGCACCGTAATTCGGACCGGTGCCTCCATCAGTGAAAGCACACTGCCCGATGATAGCTGCTACCCTCAGTGGTTTGTTTCTCTCAGCACTGATACTGTAGAGAAATGTCTTCTCATCATTGACACCCTCTCCACCTTGAGTGTAATCTTTGGAGGTGTAGGCTCCATAGATGAACCCAGCAGCATTGTAGGCTACAATAACGGTGGGCCCTTGATTGTCACAGTGTCTGTGGAAGACATTAGCAGTGAACCCATGGATGCTGGCTTTGTGGAGCAGATGGAGTTTGACACGACTGAAAAGAGAGAGGAGCTGCTTCTCCTGATCCTTAGACAAGGCGGATTTCATTGTTGCCATGATGGGAAATCACCTGATGATGTAGACAGATCAGATCAAGTTTAACGAGTTATCACAGAAAACCACAACTGCACGTGCAGATGTTATAACCTGTGACCATTTATATAATATATTATTAAGGGGTTTTTTTTGTTTTTTTTAATAAAATGTCATGTAAACCTGCAAGTGAATCATCCCACTCCCACCTTACTGAAAACTCTTTTGCTTGTGAAACACTTTCTTTTTGAAGGGCACGTTTGCTGTCTTTCATTAAAACATGTAAAATACAATCACCACCAGTCCACATAGCAAAATTGGTATGGCCCAGATCTGGCCCACACAGTGTGCTTATACATGGCCCACATGCCACAAAGAATGACGGGCCTTTGGTGGCCCACATCTGGTTTGCCAGATGTGGCCCACACAAAGCCAGTTGCAGACACACTGGTGGTCCTGTGCTGGCCCAAAGCAGTTTTCAGCTCTGGCCCCAGATGTCAGCCTAATGTGTAGCTTAATTAAGACGAGTAAACTTTCTGTCACTAGGTTCTGGATAAAGTGTACACTGACAAACCTGTCAAACTTGCATTTGAAACGTTGGTTACCATAGCAGTATAATATTGCAACATGGCATTTGTGTCTTCTAACTAAAATAGGAAAATAGGAACATAAATAGTGTCATCATTGCCAGACCTGGCCCACATCTGGTTGACATACACCAAGCCATGACACTGGTCAGTCAGAAGTGCCAGCTTACTTTAAAGTAACGCTCTGAGAATTTGGGGTTTTATTTATCTGACTTCACTTTTCCTAGTTTTCATATTTGCAGTCAGGAGAAAATATGTTAATTTACAGCTACCAATTTTATTATGCAGGATAATCAGCACAGAAAACATTTCATGTTTGATTCACAAACAAGAAATATAATGGAAGAAACATTTTCTCAGACAAAGAGAAACTGAAAGTAAAACCACCTTCAAGAAACCCGCTGAAGTGATAAAAGTCATACTTGCAGCAGAAAGATGCATACTGTGGATGAAGTTAGATGTTATCAAAACAAACTCACCTTCAGAAGACAAACTGATGCAGGAAAAATACAGTCTGTGGCACGCCGCAGTGGTTTAATGTGTTGTGGAGGTTCAAACAGGAATGAAAGTAAAAATAAACCTTTTTTCTTTGTCCCTGTTGTGATTGGTCACATTGTAAAGGCTGTAAAATGACTGCAACCAATAAGACTTGACATGAAACATGATTCTTCTGTGATACTGAGTTTTGCAGTTCAATCTAAAAGCTATAAAAGCGTCTTTGACGATACACCGAAAGAAATACAGTTATGAGGAATATACAGTATAATAAGCCTTATGAATAAATTATTCAATTAGTATGTATTTGTTCCTTTATTCATGTGTATTTTAGTCATTTTCAGAGGTTTTTTTAAAAGTATAATCAAATTCAGATGCATACACATACATACAGTATTGTGCAAAAGTCTTGAGTTACTCCTCTTTACA